CCTGACTGCAACAGACGGCCGACCTGCTCTTCGAGTCATACAGTCCGTGCTAAAAGGGTACACGGCCACCTTCTGAATGACAGTGAACGTGTATCGTAAGAAAACACATCATGCACGCAGAAGATGAAAATACGCTGTGCTCGTAAGTCGGACGCTGCATGTCAAATCCAGACTTGCATTAATTTATCCACAATAAACACACGAGCCTCACAAATTCACAGAGCGAATTCGCGTGTAGCTCGCATTCAAAACATTCTTAGCAAAATCTGGGGACCTGCTATCACCTTCTGTAATCATTATCGTACTTTCCAAGGGTAATGAAAATTCGAATATTCTCCAACAATCCGCCATATCACCACCTACAAGGAATAAGAATGTCTGTGAGGTGTAATGGTTGTAGTACTCGATTAGCCTTGCTAAAAACCAGAGTTTCTGATTATGCAGTGTAATATCTGTGTCGTTGATTAGCTATGCAACAACCAGATTTGTAGTTTTAACAGACGAGCAACATGACCAATGATGGACACCCACTAAAATCATAAACTTATTGGGGGTATACTTCCGAATTTGAATATGCGTTCCAATCAAAATGCTATATACAAAATATTTAGCTCCTGATGAATCGTCAAAGAAACCGAAACATATACATCACTTTCTCTCTAATAACATTTACAGTTCATGATCATCATAACATATAATGTTGACTTAGCAATAATGTGCAGCGAGGGATGTCAAAAACGAAAAATATATCGGAACATGGAAGTGTCCCTTTCAACGTTTGTTGACTCACAGTTCTACAACGAAAAAGTGAGGCGCCCGGCGTCCGTCAGACGTCGCGATGCGAGATCAATGCGACGCCGCCATTTCCCACAGGAGACTGCAGAGGACTGATCAACGACGGACCTCTTGCCAAGAGAGAGGGTGGTATCATACTTAATGGAGAACTGGAGTGGTTCGATGATCGATGGCCTTTTATTAAACCTGTGGATTAGGCCCTTATTGCCGTATTCACAAATGTTTACCAATGAACCTTATCGTAAGTCAGTTAAATCCAGTCCACGCCTCGTGCCCAATTCCTATAAGCTGT